TAGTAACAAGTGCCTTACTAGTAGTAACAAGAAGCTATTAGAAACAATATACAAATTAGATGGAGACCATCGCTAGTAGGTTTGAGGCCATCACGGCCATCACCAGTAGGTAGACCCAGTAACCTGCCAAATGTGCAACATTGGAACATCCATCGCATGGAGCATCCACTGAAATGTTAGATCATAATCCATCCGATTTAGGTCATTGTTTGCAAGCTTGTGTTCATGCTGTTGGAGTCAGCGAATCTTGACATCAAGACACATGACCTGGCCTGGCGAGGTGTTTGCCACAAGTCGCGTGCCTCCCAGGGAACGTCTGCAACAGGGACCTCTGACTCAGAGGGGGAGTGCAGTCACGAGTTTTCTGTGATTCATAGCTACTAGTAGCAGTAGTAGCTTCTTGTTACTAGTAGCGATGGCCTCCAACCTACTTGCGATGGCCTCCACCTAATAGCGTCCTTGTTGCTAGTAACTCTGCAAGAACCAAATCAGGCAGAACGATCATGAACGATCCGTTTTGATTTGTCCCCGCGTCGATCCAGGAATACGAAGGCCAGGCATGTGCTGAGTGCAAATTTGGCTGGTTTATGGATGCTAGCACGGGACTTTGTGAAGAATGTGGCGAAGCACAAAAGATTGGCATGATGCTCGGGTGCACCACTGCCGTTCACCACTGCCGCCACCAACGATTCCCAATCCACCAGATGTCTGGAACGAACTCGTGTTGATATTGCTACCAGTAACAAGTGCATCGCTACTAGTAGCCACAAGCTACTAGGGGCGCTCCTGGCCTTACTACTAGTAACAAGAAGCTACTGGTAACCAAGGGCATCGCTACGAACGGAGCTAGAAGCTGCTAAGACTCGACAGCTCCGATCTCGACAGATCTGAGAACTCGAGGATCATCATGGCCATTTTCAGCGTGGTGGGCTCCTTCGGATGTTTGGCCCCTGAGCCAAGAGAAGGGCGGGAAATTGGGGCTGAGATTGGTCTTCAAGAAGTGTCTTCAAATAGGACATATATATAACATATCGTATTTATATGTTTATTTTTGTTGTATGAGTTTTGTGTTGTTCCCCACCTGGCAGGTGAGGGTTGTTGGATTTTACAGGGCTGTTCATAACCAATCCTAATCCCCCACCGGATTACGGATTAGGAATGTTTACAGATTAGATGGTTTGAGCAGATTGCGGATTAGGTCCAGGTTGTTTTGTAAACCACTTGCAGGGTTGGCCTGGTCCGGACGGTGCGGTTCGGGACTCTGCGGTCGTTACGGCGGTTCGGTCTGCTGCGGGGAGCAACCCTCGATTCAACAGCAGCCAAAGAAGAGAAGCTTTCGTGGAGGCCGAGCCCGGGCCGGGTCACCTGACGGGCTTCAATCGGGCAGTGTGATGTCAGACCTGGAGGGACTTGGAAAGTGATGCGGGCCCACAAGAGCAGCACTGGGGCTCAAGTGAAAGCCATGCCGCGCAGTTCACCGGCACAGGGCACGCCGAAGCGCCAGGGCCTGCACTGCAAGCCTTCCAGGTGTTGCTCCGTGAGCGCCAGATTGCTCCCAAGGAGGCGAGCATGCTTTGGAGGGCTTTGAGTCCGGAGGAGGCCACATGGCTGGGCAACGCTCCGGCTTTGGTGGGCGCTGCACCCTTCGCCTCAGCGCCACTACGCTCAACGCTGTTGTTGAGTGTGCGAAGCAGCTGCATGAGGTCGTCGGTGCGGATCTCGACGCCCGCTTTGCAACTTTGTGGACTTCGACGCACGGAGGCCAATGTACAAAGAACCCAACCATGGCATCACGACGCAGTGAAGCACCCACCGCTTCAGCCGGCGACGACGGCGTTCGCCAAGCACTTCAAGATGGACCAGGGGCCCTGAATCAGTTCAGGCGTGCTGCGCCTGAAACATCGGCACCTGTGCATTACTTGGGGAAAGGCACTTTGAACCCGCAGCTTGTACGTAGAACAGACTGCGTCTAATACATTCTAATACTGTTGTTGTATTAATGATACTGGAGACCAATATCTTTTATTTGCAGGGGATAGCGCCAGTCAGATAACAAGATATTATAGGCTTCTTCGGTTCCAAAAACTGCGATGTTGACGGAGACTTGGCAGAAGCTACAGGGACTCACTAAGCACCAGCTCGGAGACGAGACCTTGGACCAGAGGGCGAGGATTCTTCTCAGTCTTTGTGGACACGACGCAGAGAAGAGGCGAGGCCAGCAGTGCTCCGGCTTTGTGGGCACAGTTTGCCAGAAGTGGGCGACAGAGACGCATCGCCGTACAGGCGCAGAGCAAGCTGGCAAACGGCTTGGCGCGCAAGGTCCGGCGCCGCAAAAAGCCGCGAAGCGCCAGGCGGGCGCGAACCGTCAAGTGCTGGCGGCGGAGCCATCTGGGGATATGGCCCAGCGCTAGAGTGGAATCCAGAGTATCATGCCCTTACTTTTGGTTCAGTGTGGTATTCTTAGCACGTGGCCGCTTTCCTGTGTATACTGGCCCCACCACCCTGATAGTGGTGAAAGTCAGCTCAAGGTGACCGGTCCTTTTTCCTGCGCCGTTCCGCAGGCAACGACTATGACGATGACGACGACAACGACGACGACTACTGCTACGACTACTACGCGGGTAAAGGGTGCTTGCCCAGTGGCAGTTGTAGCGGCAGTCGTAGCAAGTAGTACGTAGTCGTAATAGCCCAGTACGGTTTCGGTTCGGTTGGAATCGGTTTGAATGTTTAATTGAAACTTCGAATCGGTTCGGTTTGGTTGTAGAAGTATTTTTTCATGGACTTTCGGTTCGGTTCACAGTTCGTTTCGGTTCCGTGAGGTGTAAGTTTCGCAGTGGGGCAAAGAAAAGAAAGGCAGACTATAGACAAGACAGGACAGGACAGGAGAAAAAAGGAAAATGGAAAGCAAAAGGAAAGGAAAGGAAAGGAACTATTTTAAGAAAAGGACAGGAAAGAAAAGGAAGGGAAAGCAAAGAAAGGGAATAGAAAAGGAAAAGCAAGGGGAAGGAATGCAATTTGTGAATATGCTTTTTCCAGGCCTTCCAAAAAGCATATTGGAAAGGAAAGCCAAGAAAAGGAAAAGGAAGGAAAGGAAAGCAAAACAATGAACAAAAACAGGAAAAGGAAAAGGACAGGTAAGGTATGTAATTTGTGAATATGCTTTTTCCTGGCAGTCTAAAAGCATATTGGAAAGGAAAGGAAAAGGACATGGAAATGGACAGGTAGGAATGCAATTTGTGAATATGCCTTTTCCACGCCGTCTAAGACGCATATTGGAAAGGAAAGCATTTTATGAATGCGCCTGAAGCCGCCTGAAGCCGGGCCAGGCCAGTCATATGCTGTATGGACATTCCAGTGGGGGACTGCTGCTCTGACTGAAACTCTAGACTTTGGACAGTCTGAAAAAGCATCGCAGCGGAGCAGAGCGGAACGGTTTGTTTTTCTTTTCGGTTCGGTTGTGTGTGGAAAAATGACGGTTGTTTACATTGGGTTCCTGAAAAATTTCGGTTCGTGACATTCGCTGACTTTCGGTTCCGAATCGATTCGGGACCCTTCCTGTATAATAGCTGTTAGTTAGTAGCTAGGTAGTAGGTGGTGGATAGTAGGTGCGGTAGTAGGTAGTAGGTAGTATACGCAGTAGGCAGTATGTAGTAGTAGTAGTAGTAGTAGTAGTAGTGGTAGTAGTAGCAGTATTATTAGCAGTAGTCGTAGTAGTATCATTAGTAGTAGTAGTAGTAGTAGTAGCAGTAGTAGTAGTAGTATGTAGTATGTAGTATGTAGTGGCAGTCGTAGTGGAAGTGGTAGTGGTGGTGGTAGTAGTAGTAGTATGTAGTATGTAGTATGTAGTATGTAGTGGTAGTGGCAGTGGAAGTGGTAGTGGTAGTGGTAGTAGTCGTAGTAGTAGTAGTAGTAATAGTAGTAGTGGTAGTAGTGGTAGTAGTGGTAGTAGTGGTAGTAGTAGTAGTAGTGGTAGTAGTAGTAGTAGTGGAAGTAGTAGTGGGTAAAAAAGGTTTGCCTTGCCCAGTACTAATAGTAGCGGTAGTAATAGCACTATCCTAGTGGTAGTTGTAGTGGTAGTCGTAGTAGGCAGTGCGTAGTCGCAGTAGGTATTAGCTAATACCACATATTAGGTAGTAGGATTGCGGATAATGGCACGGATTACGGATAAAAACGGATTGCGTTAAACGGATTGCGCGGGATCCGCGGCTTATGCATTACGGATTGTTTTTATAGGCCCGTCGGGCTTAAGAACGCTGCCTCGCGCCTCACCTCCTCCCGACCGCAGTGTTCCCCGCCTGACCGGACCCGCCAGCTCCCGACGGAAAGCTCCTGACGGTAGTGTTCCCCGCTGGACCTCAACCGCAACACGCAACCACAAAGGCGCAACCACAGCACACGACCACAACACACAACCACAAACGCATAACCATAAACACAACTACATAGACACAATCACAAACACAAAGACACACCCACAGCACACAAC